TCAACTCAAAAGTACAAAAGATCGAAGGAAAAGTTTCAAGTTTTCTTTTTAATGATCACAGCTCACTTCTTTTTATACTTTTCCGGGATGTAAGAATAAATAATTATTTGTATTGATTAAGAAGTGGAAATAAATCATATATACATTTTTATATCCATTAACAATATTTTCTGCTATTGTCTGACATTTATATTTTGGTCTTATTCAGGCTAGTTCCAAAATTGCATTTCTCTATGGATTGTTTTCATCCAGATTTTAAAACCTGGTCCTTTAAATCCACTTTAGAAAAGAAACTATACTTTTGTGGTTAGGAAAGAGATCAGGGAATGCATTGAAAAGTGTGGAGTGAATAATAGTTAGTGAGAAGACACTCCACAACTGAATCAGGGTGAATTAAGGATGAATGCTCCTTGTCATCTAACCACCCTGAAAACAAATCAGAACAAATGCCCAATGAAGCCCAGATGTCGTCTAATCTCTGGGGAAGCTTTGAGCAAGTATATCAGGACAAATGCTCAATAAGCAGCTCCTGTGAAAGTCTGACTGTGGTGGCCAGCTAAAGAGACCCCACCCCACTAAGCCTGCTAGTGGCATGAGGATAGAGTCAAAGATGCTAATCAGAGGAGTGTGAGAGAGAAACCGCCTGCACTGGCCGTTGTGAAGCAACACAAATGATTGTCTCATGGAGAAATACCATTTCCTTAAGGGCTTTCTGACAGTAAAATTGAACACTCCCTTAATTACTAAAGAGGGTAGCTGGCATATGGGCACAGGGCAGGGATGTCAGAGAGTTCTGATGAAAATGGGAGAAGAAATTGCCAGCATTTTTTTGTACTTCTATGTCTGGAATAGAAATCAATCCAGTGAATATGATTGGTATTTGCTGCTGCTTTCACATGATAATGGATAATGCACCCCATTTGCACTGAAGCTAATGCGGTGGAATAACATAATGGCAATTACCTAATTACTTACCTAATTAGTTACGTATGTTACATAATTTCATTACAGCAATGTGGAAGACAGGCTGCAGCAGAAGAGAAACAGTGTTGCATGTGATTGATAGAGGACAAAATGGAAAACGATGCCTTCTTAAATCCCTAGCACAGGGGCCAAAACAGATGGAGGGAGAGGGCAAGGATCTCTAAAGATGGGGGTTCTCCCCAGAGCCATGCAGGGAAAACTACTTCTTCTCTAAAATGAAAACTCCATTTCTTTCCCCAAACAGACATATATTTTTAGGATTTTGAGCACTGAGCAATGGTTGATGAGCACAGTGTGAAGGCAGAAGGAGAAAGAATATCAAAGACAGAGGAGTTGTATCTCATGGGAGTCTAGGTGTTGAAGTAGAAGATTCCACAAGCATTCACAAAAGCTTAAAAAAATGTTCACAGAACAAAAGAAGGTGAGAAGATAACCCAAAGGCAGTCATATATATTTTTTTAAAAAATCATGTTCAATTCAAATTAATTCACTGGCAATTAATTAGAGTCCAGAGCAGACTGGAATGAAGGGGTGTGCAGTGAGTAGAGAGAGGGATCTGAAGAAACAACATTGAATAAAGTTTGTAAAAGAGACTGAAAGAATCATTGAAGCTAGACTAGGGGAACAAGGCACCATACATATACAGAAATATTATATAAAACAGGCAGAAAACTGTTGACTCACGGTCTGGTTCTGGCTCCCTAAATCTCCCAAGTGACCCTGCCAGCCCCTGATGCAATTGATCAACAGTAGCATCACTGAAAAAGCAAAAACCCAAACCACAAATGTCAAGTGGGGACCATAGCAAGCCTTTCCAAGGAGCCCACCAGCCAACTGAGTCTACCTCCATTTTCAAGGGCATGGAGGCAACAGTGCTGGCATGAAGAGCCACGCATGTCAGTCTCTACAGATGACTATATGCTTGCTTGCCGAGTTCTGACATCACCTGTCCAAATAGCTGTGTCCACCTGGCTTTTCTAAAGGAGAGTGCAGGAGGCATGTTAACTGTTTGATCAACATCTTAGCTAAGTCTTAGCTAAGTCTTACAGCTCTCGTCTGCAGTTTACCTGCTTCTAACCTGTAAATCAGGATGGTGTCCCTGCCTGGAGGCCTGGTGATACCAGTGAGAGGTGTTGCTGCTGTCACTGTGGCAGCAATGGCAGAAAGGGGTGTGTGTGCGCAGTCATATTGGGGGTGTGGTGGGGCTGTGCCAATGGCTTTCTGAGGTCTGGTGCCAGCCATTGGGGCAGCACTGCCTGTTGTTGTGCTTCACCTGCCCATTTTGTACAGCTCTAATTGCTGCAGAGGAAGAGAGCAGATTTCCAACAAAAAACAAAGACAGAGACTCTGTAGGGCACAGCAAGCCAGCAGGTTGACATCTGTGAATTATGCAAACAGCAGAGCAGAAAACAAGCTTGTCCTAATAGGCAGGGCATATCGAGGCTGAAGGAGAGAGCCGGAGAAGGACTCTCAGTTGACAATTATCAAAGTCAGAGGGAGGGCTTATTCCCAAGGCCCTTTTCAGAGCAGAATAGTTTTGTTTTGGCTTGCCTCTTCAAGTGGAAACTTATGCGAATTAAAAAGGGGCATGCTGAGTTTTAGGAGCAGCCCCCGTGATCTTGGCCAGAGAAGAGCTTTGGGCCGAGGGCAGCTTGTCATTGATCTTTGAAGCCTGGATACACTTTTTATCCCCTTCTAGTGAATACTAAATACTGCTTATGAATGAAAGTTCATGCTAATCAATGGAATCTTCACACAGCTGCTTTCCAATAATCACACACCATCATACATGGATTGCTGCAGCATAACCATCGGCCTTATTTAGGAACACCGATGAGTCAAGTTATCCTTTTCGGAAACATATTTCTGCATAAAACTTATTTTCTAGATACTTCCCTAACTCAGCAGATTTTGTTTCTGATGACTGCATAAAGAGATAGTCTTGATGGCCCCTACAAACAAAGTTCTCTATTGTCAACAGCATTCCAGTAAGTAACATTCCTGCTGTAAATGTTTTGGTAATAGTTTTCTGCTACTGAAGGCTTGCTGTTTTGCTGGATCTGTTTAATGGGTTATTGTAGAAGATGCACGGTAACATATTCTATTTGTGTTATATGCCTTTGGCTCTTAATTTGTGTAAGATACTCTGTTGTTGTTGTTGTTGTTGTTGTTGTTGTTGTTGTTTAGTCGTTTAGTCGTGTCCGACTCTTCATGATCCCCTGGACCAGAGCACGTCAGGCACTCTTGTGTTCCACTGCCTCCCGCAGTTTGGTCAAACTCATGTTAGTAGCTTCGAGAACACTGTCCAATCATCTCGTCCTCTGTCGTCCCCTTCTCCTTGTGCCCTCCATTTTCCCCATCATCAGGGTCTTTTCCAGGGAGTCTTCTCTTCTCATGAGGTGGCCAAAGTATTAGCGCCTCAGCTTCAGGATCTGTCCTTCCAGTGAACACTCAGGGCTGATTTCCTTCAGAATGGATAGGTTTGATCTTTTTTCAGTACGTGGGACTCTCAAGAGTCTCCTCCAGCACCATAATTCAAAAGCATCAATTCTTCGGCGATCAGCCTTCTTTATGGTCCAGCTTTCACTTCCATACATCACTACTGGGAAAACCATAGCTTTAACTATACGGACCTCTGTCGGCAAGGTGATATCTCTGCTTTTTAAAGATGCTGACTAGGTTTGTCATCGCTTTTCTCCCAAGAAGCAGGCGTCTTTTAATTTCGGGACTACTGTCACCATCTGCAGTGATCATGGAGCCCAAGAAAGTAAAATCTCTCACTGCCTCCATTTCTTCCCCTTCTATTAGCCAGGCGGTGATGGGACCAGTGGCCATGATCTTAGTTTTTTTGATGTTGAGCTTCAGACCATATTTTGCGCTCTCCTCTTTTACCCTCATTAAGAGGTTCTTTAATTCCTTCTCACTTTCTGCCATCAAAGTTGTGTCATCTGCGTATCTGAGGTTGTTGATATTTCTTCTGGCAATCTTAATTCCAGTTTGGGATTCATCCAGCCCAGCCTTTCACATGATGAATTCTGCATAACTAATAATGATGATACCTAGTATACAGAGAGACAGTTAGGAGCACAGGAATCTGTTCGTACCAGGTCAGATTATTCATCCATCTATCTTAATACTGCCTAGGCTAACAGGGGTTCTCCCACTACCTGTTTCCTGATTCTTTTGACTGGAGATGCCAGGGGAATATTATTTTTGGAAATCATGGCCTCTATCACTGCTCCCTCCCCAAGCCATTAAATTTGCTGTCACGTGTTGGATGAAGAGAGCTGTAGTCCAAAACATCTCAAGGGCCCCCAGTTTACAAAATGCCAGTTTAGAGCAATAATACCTAAACTGAGTATCACAAGATGAGCTTAATTATAATTTTTCATATGCAAAAAAAAGGGGGGGGGAATAAACCAACCATTTATAAGTCATTGCAACAGTCATTAGTCTGGTGGTGGTGATTTCTGAACTACACTGAGCAAGAAATTGTGGATCTGGAAAAAGAGATCCTTAAAGTAATAAGAGCAGAGACCTCTTGATGCTCTCAACATTGACCTGAGAAGAATTGAGTATCCCAGAGAAAGACATCCCTCAGCCACTGTTTGACTCCCAATGCCAGTAGGTCACATCTAGAACCCCTACATTCAAGACCACCCTCTTCCACAGAGTGCTCCAATGCACACCAAGAAATGAAAAGGAGTTCTGAAGGACATTGTTGAGAAATATCATCCAATATACCCCCTCTTCCATCATTCTCCTAATGCAGAGCATAATTACACAAGATTTAGGCTCCACACATCCGACCTTCTCCCACGAATAAAGCATGGAGTGGAATTGGCAGTAATGCAAGGGCCGAGATAGTGAGCAGTCCTCATCTCCTTTCAAGCTGTTGTTAATTACATGAGGAGAATGGGACTCTTCTCTCCCTGTAATTCTGCCCAGAACTTCCATTTATTTGACCCATTTGAATGTGAGATGCTGGCTTATGACAGCCTTACAGCAAACTGAAATGTAAGGGGTAAGATGTAATCTCAAGGGTAATTGTTGAAGCAAAAGCCTAGGGATGTTGGCTTTTGCTTCAACAATTACCCTTGAGATTACATCTTACCCCTTATGTGGCACTGTGGGTTAAACCACAGAGCCTAGGGCTTGCCGATCAGAAGGTTGGCGGTTCGAATCCCCACAACGGGGTGAGCTCCCGTTGTTCAGTCCATGCTCCTTCCAACCAAGCAGTTAGAAAGCATGTCAAAGTGCAAGAAGATAAATAGATACCGCTCCAGCAGGAAGGTACCGGTAAATGGTGTTTCCGTGCGCTGCTCTGGTTTGCCACAAGCGGCTTAGTCATGCTGGCCACATGACCCAGAAGCTGTACGCCGGCTCCCTCAGCCAATAAAGCGAGATGAGCGCCACAACCCCAGAGTCGGTCACGACTGGACCTAATGGTCAGGGGTCCCTTTACCTTTACTACACACACACACACACACACACACACACACACAACCTTGCCAGCTTCACTATAGATGGAGTAGATTAATGTTTCTATACTGGCTTTCTTTATCTTTCCTTTGGCTCTTCAGCAAAGACACACACAGGTGCACAAACACAGAAGCAAATAGCAAGGAATGTACAATGTAATTTCCCACTGGCTACAGCAAGGCCCAAATCATAGGCACATTGGCTCCCTGGGGCGTTAAACCACTGAGGAGATGCAGCTGAGCTCTACAGGTACACCTGCAATCTGCATTACCTCCCCTTTCGTTTGCTACCTGGCCTGTGATTTCAAACACCACCCAGGTAGCCAGAAATAAATTAACTCTTCTCCACACACCTTCCAAAAACCAACAACCCTACCTCTTTTATTATAAATATTTTGGCTTAGACTATACAAGCGTGTAACTTGCACAATCACTGATACTCCAAGTCGTTCTGAAGATTGCAAATGATGTTGCGCCATAAGGAAAGAGACACTTTCATGCCTGGCTCCCTTGATGACACTCCCACAGCAGCTCCCCCACCCCGCCACCCTGACTTAGACATACAGCACTGCATGTTTGTTTTATTCAGCACTTCCACGAAACGAGTCTGCAGTACAAATTCGAGCAAAATGTTTTTGCCACTGTGAGCCAAAGGGCGTCTGGTGCTTGCGTCGATTTCATGCTGAAGCTGAAAAGAGAAATATGTCATTAAGGATGATATCCTACACACACCCTTAAAAAAAATAAAATAAAGAAGGAAGGAAGGAAAGAAATGGATCATCTCTTAAGGATGCCCACAGTGGGCTTTTGACTCTCCATCTCGATTTAGGATTCTGGTGCGAGAACTGACATGCCTCCCTCTGCCTGTGCTGTTTGCTCCCTGCTTGATAGTGCTGCTGTCACTTCTGTCCTCCTTTCATTCCTGCAGGTATTCAGCATCTCCAGGGAGCACTATCTTTGTGAGAATGAGGAATATGACACTGCAGGCTGGAGCCGGAGTGTTAATGGATCACTGAATGACAGCTGAGCCTTCTCTCGGCGGTATCAGGCTAGCGATCAGTGCCAGGAACACAAGGCCTCGACGTTGAAGCGTGCCAATTTAATTTCTGTCACATGTGGCCTAAGCTGTACACCCAGGGCTTCTTTTAAAAGCCTCCTTTGACAAGGCATGCACTGACACAGGCCTTAATGGAACATTGAAAGATGCTAATAATGGAATAATTGCACGAGGGGACTATCTGTTTTTACCAGTGTAATATAGAATTAGGGGAAATCACGGAAGGCAGGTTTAATATATCCTGGGCGCGTAGAGGGATATTAAATCCTTCCAATTTGTCACCCACCACACTGCTGTTACTTTTGCCTCCAAAAAAAAGCTAACAGTGTGCTTGATTTACTAATTACAATAGTTCTTGAAAATGCGGCATACAAATAATCGCTCTGATTAATTAGCTTGAGGTGGGAGGGTTGGGGGGAGATTATCTATTTGTTTTAAGATCATTTCTGTACTGCCTGCTACTTCAAAGAAGGCTCTAAGCAGTTTGCAACATTACAAAACCATCACAAAGGCAAAAATGCAATAAATTCACATTTGAAAGCTGCAGAGAACAATAAGAGCCTCTTAAACATCAATATAGAGATGCAGGTGGTGCTGTGGTCTAAACCATTGAGCCTAGGGCTTGCCAACTGGAATGTTGGCGGTTCGAATCCCTGCAACAGGATGAGCTCGGACCCAGCTCCTGCCAACCTAGCAGTTCGAAAGCATGTCAAAGTGCAAGTAGATAAATAGGTACCACTCCGGCAGGAAGGTAAACGGCGTTTCCGTGCGCTGCTCTGGTTCGCCAGAAGCGGCTTAGTCATGGTGGTCACATGACCCAGAAAATCTGTCTGCAGACAAACGTTGGCTCCCTTGGCCAGTAAAGCGAGATGAGCGCCGCAACCCCAGAGTCGTTCGCAACTGGACTTAACTGTCAGGGGTCCTTTACCTTTACCTTTTTAAAAAACATCAATATAAACTAAAACAACCTAACACATTAAAATTATTTATTTCATTTCATTTTTAATTGCTTCACAAGAAACATCCTAAAGTGACTAAAGATTTTAAAACTTCCACCATAAAATCCTTTGTAGAAACAATCTTGCCTCCATCACCTATCCTATGGCACTTCAAGGTACTGTAATTCCAAGTCCTGTATACATGGCAGACCTGCCTGTCGGCCCGCCCACCAGCTCAGAATTATAAGCTTTATTGCTTGTCACTGTTCAGTAAAATGTTTGACCAACACAGTGGCAAAGGATTTGCTCACAGACCCACTCTTGCAAATCTGCTGGCAATAATGACTCACTGTAAATCCAACTTTTTAATTAGTGTTAAATCTCATTTTTAATCTACCCAGAATTAGAGGGAGAAACAGATGAGCACTTTTATAAGGTCAGCGGCAAGCCTTATATTTAACTGATAACTCTAATAATAAAAGAAAGTAGAGATCATCATAAGCACGTTGCTTCTTGCTGCAACATATAATTTTGATAATGTCACTGACAGATGATCCTTGTGGGGAAACTCACTCAGAGGATTATGCTCTCAAGACACTGCACATGCTGATAGTCCTAAAGAATCAGAGAGTTAGGAACCATTTCAAAACAAACAGCCATGTGTCAAAACATGAGGCCAGAGACAAATTCAACAATCTTCTTGAACTTATCTTGCAATGAACAACTTGGGTTTCCTTGTTCCCTGCTTCCTGTGTGCCACTGCAAAAATGGAGGGGGAAAGTTTAAGTTGGACACTGTTGGACACCTCCACCCTGCCACTCACAGCCAATACAAACTTTATGAACATAGGAAGAGATCTGACAGGTCTTTGGAGTAATCTATCTAGTTCTGCATCTTGTTTTCCATGGTGGCCAACTGGTTAGCTGTGGGCACAATAGCTCTCTCCTGCTGCTGTTCCCAGAGCCTGGCAATGTTCAGTGAGGACAAACAGCACATACCAAATCATTCTGTACTGCTTCTGAGTTCATGGAGCAGGGATGGTTTATTTGGAAGTGATCCCCAGCTGAAATTTATCCATACAACGCAACTGTCCCATTTTAAGTGGGACATCCCGCAATTACAGACGCACCCTCTCCATTTTCTGAATCCATCCTGGGATGTCCCATTTTGACTCCCACACTCCGGCTGCACCAAGGCCATGTCTGTTGAGGCCATGTCCCAATTTGCCACACCAGGATGTTGGAAGGCATGATTTACCTGAAAGAGGAATGCTAATGTCCTAGCTGTGGCAGATGGAGAGATAAGAGATCAGCTCCGTGTGGCTCCCACTCTCCCTGAACTCTTTCTATTAAAGCTAGTCTCTATAAGAACTTTAAAACTTAGTGTTATAAAGATGGAGAGACTGTGGTCCTCCAGGTGTTCTTAGACTCCCAAATCCTATGAATTCCAGCCCTCAGCTGCATGGTCAATCATCAGGGAGAATTGAGAGAACTAGTTTCCACCTTGGGCTCCATGGGAGAAAAGGAAGGACAGAAATATAACAAATCAATAATAGTCCAGCTGAAATATCTGTAAGGACCCAAGTTCCCAGTCCCTGTTTAATGAACTGGTGCTGCCTGAATTTGCTTGCCTTGCCTTTTGGGACTTGTCTTTTAGACTGTAAGTCTGTGGGCAGGGACTGTCTTGTCTGTTACTGGTCTACCCTGGCTTTCTTTTTATTTTATTTTAAAGGCTTAAAATAAATGGCACGTATCAGGGAGAAGAATCTGCTCTCTGTCATTTCTTCCCATATGCATACAAGGCCATTGTGGATGACTTCATTGTGAGTGAAGAAGACAGTAAGACAAGGAGAAGGAACTCAAGAATGCTACTGGAAGGAATTAAGAAAATTAACAAAGTTTGCTAATTCTGCCCAGTGGAAGCTCCTCCTTAGCCATAAGGGGGGAAAAGGTCTTCCCCAAATTGTCAGACAGTTTTCATATGCCATCGACTCTTGCAGTTGTTTCATCACTGCTCAGCATAATTGTCTGACTGGTCAGAAAACAGAAGTTGCAAGTGGAAATTTTCTGGGGAGATCTGTCAGTTTTCACAGTATGCTGCTGTTAAATTTGA